AGGGCTTTGTTGGTGATGTTGCCGCATGTCTGCAATTCAAAGTTGACTCTCTTCTTCGCGCTGGCCGCGCTCGAGGGGACGTCGATGTCGGATGAAGGCGACTTTTCTGGCGTGTTTGGCGCCTTTACGACTTTGACCCTGGGCGCGACAGGCTGCTCTCCAAAGGGATCCTCGAGAAACTGCAGCGTCTCGTCGACGCCAGTGTCTTCCTGGTCTTTGGGTGGTGTTGGCGGGCGAACAGAAAGGGCATCGAATTTGGACAAGACCATGGCTATGCTGGAAACAACTGGCAACGAGAGAGACAGAGAGAGAGAAAGCAAAAAAGAAACCGAGACCGCATTCACATGGCCGTCCCCGTGCGCGCGATGAAAAGTATAGAGCAAGTGGTCGTGTCGGGAGGGATCGACTGGCCCCGGTTCGAGATGCAAAGGCTGGTGTTGGCGACGCGTCTAGGCGGGACGCGCCCGCGTAAAGTGGCAGAAGTGCCCCATTCACCGGGAGACGGACCCTCGAGCCAACGACCGCCCCCTGCTAAACACCAGACGCACGTGAGGACGCTGGTTGTGCCTCGCGTGCACTTGTCTGTCCCTGGTTTGGATCGTCTAATTAGTTATTCTTAGTTAGTTGGTTACGGTCCCTCAGTAGCCATGATTATTAGTCGGTCGCATTGATGTCCCTGGCGGGGCTTCCCGCCCTGGACCTTTTATGCTACCCGCCGGTTCATCTTCGAGCATTCACCCCGCGCCTCAATCGCCATGTTGTCGCAAAGGACAGGAAAGGGTGTGTAGCGCTCCAACAGGAAGCCGAGTGCTGTTGCGCCTGGCCCTTGCTAATCAATTGTTTTGCTAGCGAAACTTGACGACGTCACTCGCATTCTCGCCGAGCTCAAGACCGACCTCGATGCAAACAAACTCTCCATCGAGCGTACGATTCTCCACAGCGAATGGGAAACAACACCACTTACCGAGTAGACAGAAAGAAGAAATCTGCTCGAGCAGCTCAAGGTGCATGGACGCTCAGTCGACAATTCTGACCCCATATTTACCCAAGATGTACACTGTCCAACCCCGTCCGTTATCAACAGTATAATGACCGCGACAGGGCCTCCGAACATTAGGACAATATGCATTCCAAGGAAGCACTACTCCGGCATCGCAAGAGGCCCTTCGATGCATAGCCAACGCATTGCTACTTCAGCCCAAAACACGCCAGGTCCTAGTCGACCTGGGCCATGGCCCGCACGCAGCAGAAAAGCTAAAGGCAAGATATAGGCCGCGTATTCACTGTACAACACCTTACTGACTCCCGTGAAGAGCGACAGTGTTGACGATGAATTCCTTGCCGCGCGCGTGCTTTTCCTCATGACCTACGATGCGCAACTCGACTACACACAGCTTGTGCGCGAGAACCAACTTGCAGAGAGTATCAATGCCGCCATAGAACGGCACGCAAAACGATACTCGGCTACATCACGCCAGCCCATGGAGCTCATGGCACTATCCGAGACACTCAAACTCGTCTTCAACATCATCCACTTCCACAAAGACCTGAGCCCCGAGTTCTCGAAGTCGATACCCAATGTTTTTAAAATCCTCGTCTTGAGTGGCACCGTCCAGCCACCCCTCGCAGCTCCTGCAAGAGAACTCGTCAATGCGCTCTTACACTTGGACTTGGAAGACGAAGGGGGTAAAAAAGCAGTCTTTCCAGCAGACGACCCCAAACGCAATGCCGAGCACCTAATCAAAACCCTTGACAAGGCCATCATCGCCTACCCGCCCAAAGACCTAGACGACACCATAACCCCTCTTCTGACCCTCATCCGCCGCGTCTACGAACTCGCCCCAGAAGAAGTTGAGAAGACAATGGAAAAATTGATCCTACCTACAACCGAAGAACGCGACCGCCCCCTCGGAAAATCAGACACTCTCCCCTCGCGCCTCCTCAATCTCTCTACTTCGGCCCACACCTCTACCCTTCGCGGCTCCATCTCCTCCATGCTCTTCGAACTTTCGCACAAGGACCCCGCTACTTTCGTTCACAACGTCGGATACGGCTTCGCATCCGGATACCTCATGTCAAACAACATCCAGATGCCCGAGGAAGTCATCAAATCCAATGCACCCCAGGATATTGCGAACGCGATCCCGATCAATCCTATTACGGGTCAGAGATTGGACAAGGAAGAGCAGGTGCCGCAGGAGCCGATGACGCAAGAGGAGAAGGAGAGAGAGGCAGAGCGGCTGTTTGTGCTGTTTGAAAGGTATGTTGATATTTTCTCTTGTTCTTGCTTGTATAGAACATTTGCTAATGATGAGTTACAGACTCAAGGCTACGGGCGTTATGAATGTACAGAATCCAGTTGAGGAGGCGTATCGCTCAGGGCGTATAGAGGAGTTACCCGATGATGAGGATTAAGTCAACCATGCACTCGTGAATTGAGGGTGTGAAGAAATATATTATGATTACCATGAGACGATACATCCCTATTTGGCCTGTGCTTCCTGCTCATGAGAGGCTACACTGAGAATGAGAATGTGACGGTTTCCGCATAACGATGTAGTCTTTGAAAATACTTTTTGGAAAAGAAAAGATGCCTCCTGCCTAACCTAGGCTTTTTGTTCCCCGTCATAAATTGGTAGTGAATATGTGTCCTCCCTTCGTCTTTGATTGCCCTAGATATGTCCGTCAAAATGACAGAAAGCTGCTGATGTGCTATGTCCCTCGTATAAATTCTGAACAGCAAAAATAATTCAATCGAACCCCTTGCAATTCTAATCCTGCCAGTTCAGCTGCCGTATGCCTGGAAAGTCGTCCTTGCGCCGAACATCTGCTACTGGCGCAGGGATCTCGATACTGGGCAGATACCCAGTTCCGCCATCATTGCTATACTCGTCCAACCAGATTAGTCCTGCAAGCCGTCGGAGCGCCATGATAACAAAGCCGCCAAGGTAAATATTGAGCCGGCAAATGGGATATGCGCTGAGCCACAATAGAAGTAGCATACCCGTAACCTTTTGCCACGGTGACATGTTGTTGAGGATAGCGAGCAGATTGAAGGCTTCGGTATCGTGCGTGTGTGACGATGGTGATGCAAGCCAATGCAAGGTGCCGCTTGTGTAGAAGAGGAAAGCCCAACTGCATGCGCCGACAGTGTATATAGCGAGTCTTACATTAAGCTTGAAGAGGACAAAGAAAGTGAAGATGATGCCAGTTGTAGCTACTAATCTGTGTATAAGCGATTTGACAAGCGTTGGCATGGCGCTGAGGAATGCAAAGCCCTCAGCAATGTGTTTAGTTTGCGACTCAAAGATATCAAGTCGCTGGCCAATGTTGTCGACTTTGGAGAGAGAGCGGTCGGCGGCTTGATTTGTTTTGTTGATGGTGTCTTGGGTGACACCCATGTGGTTTGATAGGACCTCGTAGCTGCGCACCTGTGCCTCATGATTAGATTGTAGACTAGACAGAGCACCTTCGTGGTATTGCTGCAGTTGATCGGTGAAATGCTTAGCAAGCTGTGAGCTCTCCAATATCAAGTTTTGCGAAAACTCTTGCATTCTCTCATGTATCTGATCAATCTCTTTGCTCTGACTGGTGGCCAGCGCTGTTATGAGGGTTGAGATCGAAGACTCCATGAAGGCATTGAATTTCTCGTCTATCGCCTCTACTGTTGCAACTGCTGTCGTCCGAACCGCTTGGATGTCTTCTCTGAGCTCTTGATGCGAGTTTCGTGCTTCCTCGGCGTACTGTGTCTGTTCGCGGATCAGAGACTCGTATTTTGCTGTTGTTTTGTGCATATGTTCAGTCACACCACCGACAACCTTGGTCAGGTTTTTGAAAACTTCCAAGTGGTTTTCTCGCTCAATGGCGTCTCTGCTTGCCTGACACATGACAATTGCATTCTGACGGGCATTGCTAAAAGATGTCCAGTACTGAGGCATCGATTGAAGGCTCTTGAGGCATTGCATATACTGGTATTCCTTGAAATCAGGGTAGCACAGTTTGTCTTCAGATACCACTGCTGGTTGAGCATGCCACCAGCTGCCGCCTTTATCACAATACTTAGCAGCTGGAACAAGTATGTCGCAATGTGGCGGCGCAACTGGATTGATGGGTTGAGCACTTTGTAGTTCGCAAACAGCTAGCTTGGCTGCGTATTCTATTTTGACTTTATCAAGATATGCCTCCGGTCGACTTTTCGTAAACTCTGGCGCATGCTCCAGTAGTTTGCATTCGTTCATCAGGTGCGAAGCGGCCATCTGGGTGCATGTGGGTGCATTCTGCATGGACGATACGATTCCAAGAGCTTGCGTGATCACCTTTTGGTTCCTGGATGTTGTGTGTCGGAACAGTGAATCGACATCGATAGTAGGTACTGCGTCTGCTAGCGGAGAGTGATAGTGGGCAAGTGACCATGGAAGGAAGAAGATGCCCAAGATCAACAACTTTGCGATAGTGACCCTGATCCAAAGATTAAGAAACTGCTTTTGTTGTCGGGTAGTCATAGTAGTGAAAATGATGGCAAAACCGTGAGCGAAACGATGCACGACCGAAGTAGAAGGAACGGGTGAAAGGAAGAGGGCGAAGCACAGATTATACCACGAACGACTCTAGTGGCGTACTCAGTTGCCCTCTATATAGTGATAGAAGATCAGCGGTCGGTGTACCAAAGTATCGAGATTTTCTGTGATATCTGGGTGAGAGCAAATCTGTAGCGGGAAGCCTTTGGTCAGTGAGAGAGCGAGCAGCTTTGGTCAGTATATGGAACCACGTGGTTCAAACAACCGTCAGCATCGACTGTTGTAATGCGCAGCATTTTTTGCAGAAGACAAATGCGAGTTTTCTGATGTTCCCAGATGGGATGAGAAGAGGAAGGTGCTGGCGAGCGGGCCAATCAGACCCGCCGATGACGCGCTATCACGAGACATGAGGATTAGATGAGTCAGCAATAAGTTGCGGTTTCCCGAAATTCTCGCGGGAGTTATTACCAGCAGTAATACAAGATGTTCGCCCCAGTCCGACAACGGTGTGCCCGAAGCCTTGCAAAGGCACCAATTCAACCCGCCGACGCGATCCCGACTTTTCTATTACCCACATTCTCGAGACCATCACGGCAAAGGACCTTTACCAGCACCGCACCATGTCAGTCCAAGATCGGCTCTGCGCCGCTCTCGATACCCCAGGGCGTCACCTTCAAGGTGAACGCACCTTCAGCAAAAGATAAGGGATCACGTATACAGGCTATGTCTACAGTACATATCAAAGGACCGCTTGGTGAACTTTCTATGGACATCCCTCCATACATCAATATCAACCAGGATGCGAGCCCGAATGGCCCTACACTCTCCATTGAGGATGCGACAGATGCGAAACAAAGAGCCATGTGGGGTACGAGTGCTGGAATGTTTCCAAACTCCCTCAATTGCTAATGTGTGAACAGGTACCACTCGCGCATACCTCCAAAATCACATTCTTGGTGTGAGTGAAGGCCATAGCGCTATTCTCCGCTTCGTCGGTGTTGGATTCCGTGCCTCGGTCGAAGATAGCGCAACAACTGTCAATTCAGAATACCCCGGTCAAAAGTTTATCAATCTGAAGGTCGGATACTCTCACCCAGTCGAGCTGGGCATACCCAAGGGCGTTACCGCAAGCACACCGCAGCCGACTCGCTTACTACTAGAGGGTCCTGAGAAAGAGGTGGTTATGCAGTTTGCAGCAGAGATCAGGAATTGGAGAAAACCTGAACCTTACAAGGGCAAGGGCATCTTTGTCAACGGAGAGACGATTAAGCTTAAGAACAAAAGAGTTGGAGGCAAATAAGTGGGACCTTCGACTGTATATGTATATTATATGTACTGTGGCTGCACTGAATTATGGCCGTCCGGCACTAATGGAGCCTCGCCGCTGCTTATACAATATGTGGGAGAATACACGCAACCTCTTCGCCAATCGCGAATCGACTTCGCCAAATCTTCTAGCCATTTTTTGTCATGGGCTCTGCTATCACCTGCTTTGGGCGAGGCAACCTGGGACGATCCAGAAATTTCGTTGTATGGCCTCAAGATCAAGTTCAGGTGATACCAAGAAATCCAGAAGCATTGCTAACACGCTATTCATCTTGACGTTGAGGTAAACATACAAAGAGTTAATATCACAGATTGAAGGATCATTCCTGAAGCTAAATGCGATTCATGTCACTCCAGTCGTGTCGAGGGTAATCTCCGAGAATGAACAACCATCTTTCGGCCGAAGTTCACGAGATCGATTTGTTTCAGCTATTGTGGGATTGGTGGACCAGGGGATGGTGTGGAATGCCTGATCAATAAGGAGACACGAGCACTGGGTTGGTGTTCGCCAACAGTAACTTTGGCGACTTATTTTGTGAGTATCCGTCTCTTTCACAACTGGCAGAATTGTACAGTGGTTGCCCATCATCGTGATGGACAATACTCTTCAAGGACAGCAGGGTCACCACCCGCGAGGATAGCTAAAAGTTCTGAACCAATCCGGTATATCCAGCTTCGAAATTGGTATGTTTACCAGTATTTCTGGTCATCAAGAATAACTCGTTGTGTCATACCCGAATTCTGAATGACTATAGCTAGTTGCTCTGGGGTTACAAGTCCTATCAGTTGTGGAGATGCACGCGCTTATTGCTTTCATTCAATCAACTGTTACCGATTTTCTTACCGTGATCTTGCGGGCCACATCATTCTCTATCAGATCCTCCTTACTTCCTTCACTAGAACGGCCAGAGATTTCCGTCTTTGTTGGCAATCCGTACAGCTCCTCTGAGTGTTTCTCAGCGTTTGCCCTTCTGCTGTCCGATGTTTTGATATAACCGCGACTGTTGTATGCGTATGATGGAGTGTTGCTGGAGACGGACTTCGCTTTTCGATATAGCCCTGGACCACAGCCGACGATAATAGCAACAGACGATTCGACTATGCTCCACAACGCAAGCCATGTCCCGACCGGCGTTGTTCTTTTTGGGCCGATAGTTGTGCCGACCTGAATCACACGCACGATACTGGCAATGACGACTAGGAGACCCAGCCCAAACAGCATGCATATTTGCAACTTGCGCATTATGGGTATACTGAGATTTCTTATAACACCAATTGGAAGGATCATGACTAAAAAAGAGGATTAGCACTACCTAAGAGTATTGAGAGCAGAGTGAGCTTACTCATGAGATCTGTTGTGAGGTCGGCTGTGAAGCCTGCCCAAAAACTGATCAAGGGCCGGCGAGCATCATCAGCGCCACACCCATCTTGATCAAACCAGGATGAAGGGCTTGGTCCGCAAGCTGTGATATGCAAGACAATCACTACAATCAGAGACTAGTTTCCCGTGTCAATTTATGACCGACAAGGTGCACATCAAGGAGGATTGAAACTTACAATCATACAGTAACTTAGGACTGCCCACCAACAGTTTTCATACGACTTGATGCCAGCCATGATTCTCTTGTAGAAGGCCAATAGAGAGAATTTGATGCTCCATAGCGTGAACCATAGTCCGGGGTTGGTGAAGAAGAATGTCTTTTGCGCGTGGAGCTCGTCTTCGGCGAGGCTGGGATAAGGGGCAAGTCTTCCTTCTTGCACGTCCAGGATCCTAAACAGAACGCCCACTTTGCTGATGTATACGGACGTTACTGTCATGAACAATAGGTAGCCGAAGAATAACCATACTTCGTCCCACTGCACGATGGTATTCCTGTCGACGCGCAGCACAACTCGTGAGCAGATCGTAATGGTCGTTACGACCATGAGGCCAATGGCGGCGCCTCGAAGGGTATCTTCTGTGCATCCAGATCCAGGCATTATCGAGACTTTTCATGTACCATGGAACAGAAAAAACAAATCAACGAGAAACCCGCTGATGAGAAAGAGGCTGAAAAGCTTGCACACGAGGCGCGATCAAGAGGGGGAGCACCACCATGTAGCACCTGGTTTAGACCTTGGGAACTTCCAGGGGCATGTAAGTAAAAGCCGCTGGAATCCAAGCTTTTCAGCCTCTTGCTGGGGGGCATTGCGTTATCCCCCGCACGTATATGGCCAAGCACTATTGTCATTGGAATAGGCGATACAAGCGTTGCTCATAAGGCAAGGTGCGCGACCACTATTTGTGCGGAAGACAACTAGTCCGAATGCCCAGGTTACATGCCAAGAAATCAGATAATGTAACGCCATTCTATCGCGGTATCCCAGTTACCAAGTACTAAACAAGCCCAAGATCTTACATATTTTACATGTAGCGAGATTAAGTGGCGGATTAGTCCGGGAAGATACGAAGACGTATATAAGACACGGATCTCACGAGGGAACATTGTCGCGCGACCGTTGAACACAGAACTGGGAGACTGGGCACTCTCGAGGGAGGCCTTTTTCATGGTCCAAGGATCATGATAGGCGATACAGCCCCGAAGCATGGAGTTAGATACCTGTATATATCCGACACGGTCTAATATCCTAGCCAAGATATCCCATTTCCCCCGAGCTGAATCCTTCTTGCTGCACAGCCATGAGTCGATGCACCTTTGTCAGTAAGTAAGTGTGTAGCAGTCTGGGCCCCATTCTCCACTCCTTCATGCTAGAGAGTTTGTAATACAAATATAGTTATCGCACTAGCGGATGCGGGCCAATGGCGGGGCGAGAAACCCCCACATGCGGCTAGTAGCCCCTTGTGCCTGTCTCATCATCAACCTAGAACAGAGTCCTTTGAACCACAGCGCCGCGTATCACCTTCGTATCGAAAGCACCTACAAATTTTGTGCGTATGCAAGAAAGGATTCTTCTCTCGTCCCATTGTGGGGGGGAGGCAAGTGGACTTTCTGATATGCCCCCCTAATATATGCGAGTGTGCATGGCACTGCTTGCTCGATTTTCTATCGTCAAACGGACTACTTACAAGTTCCACTCGCAACGAGAACGCTTCGTTGAGGATGCTTACCCCACAGTTAAGGCAGACTTTCTTTCTACTAACAAAGGTACGATCACGCAATGTTAAAACGGATAGCAGACCACGATCTAGCCGTACCGTGCCGCGTTCATGGTCATCGCGTTACTCCATTAAGCTTCCGAACCTAATCGGCTCTACATAAGCACCCGACTCGAAGCGAGCAAGATCTTTGAGTCTTCATACTCCATCAATCTTCGGCGTTCCTAGCCGACGCAGTAGGATACCTCGGCATCACCTGCTTATCTCCAGTCGGCCGCGCGGTCTTTCGTCTTGGCAGTCTTCACATCTCTTGTGGCATCGCAGACATCAGTTCCACCCGCTCGACCCGCTCGAACGCATGCACGAGGATCAAACCACTGGATTTCCATATAAGGCAGGTTACCTTGCGTTCGCGTCTCGGTTCTGATCCCGGATTTCTGCCGAAGCGATGCCGTATCGCATCTACCGATACAAGCCTTTCGGTTCTTCTGCAGTTCTAGTACTGGTGCCTTGATCATGACTCTCGCATTATCCATTTATTATCAAGCGTGGTAGACACGGTGCTCTATTAGGCGCCGCCAAGATCAAGGGGCATCACTATGTCATTCGAGAATCGGAAGGGTATCAAGGGGGTGGATGAAAAGAATACGATCACTGTATAGCCGGACGACAACCGGGCAGCGGTCTTATAGCGTGATCTAGAACTGTAGAAATTATGACGACTAGACCAATTCAATGTTGCTACTTTCGAAGTGGGGCATCTAGTTTGTCCGCAAAGAGGATTCTACGCAGTAAGCTGACCTCTTCGCAGGTCGTTATAACAAGCGGTACCAGCGTCACAGCAAGCCCCATACAACCCCTAGATTCACATTGGCCACTACGCAGCGGCTACAGCAACAACTTTGGTATCGTGACTAGTTTCACCCTCGAGACCAATAGTCTTCCCTTAAACTGGATATAGTATGAGATGTACATGCACACAACGAAGATGTCTTACCCAGCATAATTAAATTCTGACTCGATCTCACATCGAACTCATCACAAGATTGCAAGACAGAAGCCAGAACCATCTTTCTAACTGCTAATACAATCTCAAATTTAGACAGCTTTGATACAGCGCCCAATCTGGGAACGAATCCCTTACCATCAAATGGGTGTACAGTAATGAATGATTAACTGCTTGCTACTCAAACAAATATTTCGCGCAGAGTAAGGAGAGTGCAGACAAAGGTGGAGGTTGCCCGTATTCTCCATAGTGAAACTCATTGCTCGATACAAGCTAAACCGGTTTAATTGTCAAAAGATATGTGAACCACAGTTCAGTTTCCTTATTCCTCTTCGTCTTCTATTGCAAGATAGTCACTGTTGGCGCAGATGACAGTAAGATAGCAGCATCCAATGTCACATGCATATATAGAAGATAATGAAGTTCCCAAAAGAAAATAATTCTCACGATTCTAATGCCGGAACCTCATAAATGGGGGAGCAAAAATGCTTTGATAGCACTAGCAATAGAAGCTAACATACCCCACCCAGTTCCTTCTGCCCAACCGGCCAGCTAGCTAGTCCGTACTTCCCCATCACCTCTCTCACCTCTCTGCCCCCACTTTTACACTGGAAAACATAAAACAAGAAACCGTCACAAACGCCAATCATGCTCATAACTCGTGACCAAATCGCATAAGAAAAGAACGCAGACCCCACAAAGGAAACCAACGCAAACTACTGCAGCAGCGGATCGCGGAAATGCTTCTGGTGGTTATTCCTCCGCTCGTTGCCAGCTTGATATCTGTTCCTCGCACGCTGCTCCTTCTGGCGGTCTCGCTTCTCTACAGATTCGACTTCCTTCTTCTTCGCGTCCGTCACGCCCGTCATGCCGTGCAGCCCGTTGTTGCGGGATGAGATAAGTTGACGCTTGACGTCATGGCCACGACCGCGGAGTTGGACTTGCTGGTCGGCACCGTCCATGTTGGTGTCGCCGTCTTGGTCTTCGGGTGCGGGGAGGGCGCCGGGAATAGCGCGGCGCTGGGCTTCCTCCATACGCTCGGCTACGCCAGGGTAGTTGCGGAGATTCTGGCGGTAGTACTTGTTGAGAGATCGGTGGCCGGCGGTGCGGCCGGAAGGCAGATGCAGCTCGTAGTCGTCGTAGTAGACGGCCTGGGGTGTGTGGTGAGCATGCGAATGGAAGCCATCTGCTGCGCGATGCGGACGCGGGTCGGTATGGCTATGGTGCTTGGACTTGCTGAGGGACTTGTGGCGGTGGCTGCGGTCGATGGGGACAGCTGTGATTTCATCGGTGGGCACGCTCGAAACGGTGCTGTCGGTTTCCCAGCCCTCGTCTTCTTCAGCATTGCTAGACATGGCGGCATCGTCTTCGGTGGTCGTCTTGGTCTCGCGTCTCGCTCCAAGCTTGATTCCACCTCCTGTGGTTGACGAAGAATCGTCTGAATCCTCGGCCTCCTGTTCCCTCTCGTTGAAGTCGGCGGCGTCTGGGTACGAACTTCGGAAGTCGTAGAACTCGCCGATCTCAACAAGCTCTAGCTCAGTTTCGAAGGCAATCATGCAGTGACCGCGGTCGCGCATGTGTGTTTGGATGCCAGAGGCAGTGTGGAGGACCTTGTGGCACTTCAAGCATTCGTGGTAGACATGCACCTTCTCATGCAGGTACTTAATCAGCTCTTCCGGTTGGACAAGGAATTCCTTCTCAGGTATGAACATGCCGTGGAATCGACTCATGTGCGTGACGTTAAGTTGAAAACTGGGAGACTTGTAGTTGCAGAACAGGCAGTCGAGTAGGGGATCAGCAGCAGGCTTGGTAGAGGCGGCGACTGAGCTCTTGTCGTCTTGGGCTCCAGCGGACTCTTCTGACGCGGGAGCTTCACCGTTGAGAGTAGTCTTCTTTACAACATGAGCGAGATCAGATATTTCAGTATCCGCATCGCCATTGATAGTAGCCTCGGACTCGGCCATGGACTCTCCGAGAGAAAAGGCAGAGCTAACCATGGAACCGGTCACGGAGGCGGCATCATCCAAGTGCGCACCCTTTGCCGATTTTGCCACATTCATACGGTGCTTTTGGCTGTTGAGATGATTGTTATAGGCATTCTCGCTAAAGTATGTTTTCTGGCATGCGGAGCACGACTTTTCAAATGAAGCCTTGGCGGCAGTGGCGGCAGCGCTGGCTTTGTTGGCGAGGACCTTCTCGGTGAAGATTTCGGAGGACAGAGGCGGGAGGGAGGCAACGCGGCGCTTGAGGTTGTAGCGATGCCAGTCGGTTTGCATATGCGCCCGCTGCAACTCGCTGGACCGGAAGGCGACCTGACATGTGTTGCAGGTAAAAGGGTGCGTTGACTGGATGTTCGCCTGGGTAGGCACTTGCGACGCCATATCTGCTGCTGTTTTCGAGGATTTGGGTGTGGTTGCAGTCAGAGGGGTGGAGGGAGGCGAGATGAGAGGGGAGAAATAAAAGGCGATTAATAGGTGGGGGTAAGTGTGGGAAACGGTAGCGCGGTTGGGTCAGGCCTTTATGACTGGCCGGGGGGCAAAATTCTCTAACCGGATGATACGGCGCTGATTAATGGGTACCAGAGGCAGTGTTTGAGATGCAGACACTGCGGGCAATGCTGGTCACGGCGGAGCTGGTGGAAAGGGCGCAGCGACGGGGGATGCGGCGAATATTGAAGTGGACGGCCATGACATCAGCTGTGGCGCCAAGCCGCGGGCACATGGCATCCCTGCAGCGGGTGAGAGCCGCATGGCAAGAGCGACCAACCCACTGGCCGCTACTCAGCCCTATGGCCTGTCGAGAACTGCTCGTCTGAGATGAGACGCTCAGTACGTGACCGCTCCAGCGCGCCATGACATTCACCAAAGCACTGCTGGCCACCGTCTTCACTCCCCTTTCGCGCTTAGATGGTTGTAGCTGCCGATGACATGGCCATGTCACAAGCAACCGAGCACCCACGCGTCCCTCCGCGCACCCACTCCCCTCCAACCTTATCCTCCACGGCGATGCTGGGAGAACCGCCAAGGCGTCCGTCACGTGTCCTAGACAGCACCCGATTGATCAATGTTGTAGAGGTGCAAGACCCTCGTCGGGTGTTGGAATGCTCCCAGACGGAGCGCCAGCGCCAGTTCCAGCACCTTGTGCGGCAGTAAGTCCCCCTCGGCTCGTGCACCTTGGGACAATGCGCTGACCACGACAGCTACCTATCCCAGATCCTCTACGGCTGTAAGAGCCCCTACTGCACTACCCCCACTTGCCTCTCGTCCCACAAGCGCAATGCCTCCAAGCCCCACCGTCCTCCTACACACCTTACTGCCACCGCCCTTGCCCACTATCTTGCCAGTCAAGACGACCCCCAGAGAGGGCTGTGTCCTCATGACCTCAACATAGCGCCGTCTTCATTTGAACTGGGCGATAGCTCAGTACAGTTGACACATGGTTTGGACAAGGAATCTATCGCGCATGCTTCATCAGAGCAGCAAGTACGTCAGCATGGAGATAAACGTATTGGGACTGGCCAAGGGGACACGCATGTCCGTCACCAACCTCAACAAGAGCAGGTTAGCACTGTGAGCGAGCTCATGCGCAGGCAACAGGTTAGGAAGGACCCAAAGGCGCTTGGTCAGAATTTGTACGACAGTCTCGCCATGATATATTCCTATACCAAACAAATACCCACTTCCGCCTCCATACTTGCTTCTCTATATCCCTCCCATGACGCCTCTCCCCAAAATGAACACAGCTCCAGGACAAACGGGCATGATAGGAACACCAGTCTGGAGTTGACGCCTTCCATCGAACATATCAGTTTAGCACATGTGAATGCCAAGCCCCACACGCAATGTGAACATTCACAAATGGCTTCTGACAAGGCAGGAACGGGCGCGCCAGCTGCTCAAGTTGTTCAAAATGGCCGACATATTCACAGGATACCTTACCACCCTCTTAATAACAAAGCACGAAGCCAATCCCACACAGATACAGAAAGCACTCCATCCGACGCAGCGACAACTGCAACCATGCTATCCATCTCAAAGTCCGGTAGAAAAAGTTTCACGATTGGAGGAGCGAACCCATTCATTACGAATGATATAAGAAAAACTCCAAAGGCACTAGAGAATCCTAAAGGAGATTCTGCAAGCTCGGACCGAACGGATAACAGTATACCTGTCTTGTCTAGCCTGAGCTGCAGCATTCTAGATGAACTCAAAGAAGACATACGCCCTCGTGGAGACAAAAGATCTGCGGACTTCAATCATCTCGTAGACTTCGATGGCCATCGTCCGAACCGACGAACAAAGCCCATTATTAATCGATCATTATTTTACACACTAAGCGACCCTGAAACGTTGCTCTCATCTTTCCGTGAGAGCAGCGCAGCCTTCAAGGACTCGCCGCTTCCACATCTTGACTCGCATCGATTGGTCATCTCTTTCCGAGACTGGAGCCGCCGGAATGGTGCCCTCATTTTCGATAGCTTGTACTTGTCACTAGAAGCCCTGTTTGCGCCGCCTCCCGAACTCACCCTTCACAAAAGCCCTCGTCTGAGACCATCAATCAAGAGTGCCCCTGCGAACAGTCTGTCGGGGCAAGCAAAAGGCAACGGTAAATCAGACACTCCGCCACGCTACCTCAGTACTGAAGAAGCTGCTCATGTTGTCATGATATGCATACATGCTTTGACCTCATCGGTGCGGAGAGGTCGGCCGCAGACGTGGGCACAAATCCGAAAGTTGCGATCATGGGGTATCATTGTACCCCATGCGTTCCCTGATACCGATACTTTCACAGACCCGCACATGGACATTATTGATGAGCTCGAATATGAGCCCGCATTACGCCTTGCAAATCGCTTGTGTCGCGCAATTGGAACGCGGTGTTGCTTTGAACACATTCTCCATAGTCTGAGCGATGACGATGGAGAATCTCAAACTACTGATCAGTCACTTCTGGATGTTGTCATAGATCATCTGGAAATAGTCGAGCGTGTTGCATTGGTAAACAAGCGCAGACTCAATCGTGATCAGGACAGTGAGAGTGACCCGGGTTGGACTGTGACAGCCACATTTGTAGAGTGGCTGCGAACCGTCTTAATCAAAGAATGGGATAGCAAGGCTGAGATCAACAAATGGACCAGTGTTGGTACTGCCGTGATCATGCTGGATAAACTTCGTAAGCCACCGATATCCAGTCCATAGGACAAGCTAACATTCCCAGATTCGAAACACCAGTCTCTTAACTTGCGCCCCAAAATGTTCGAAATGCCTATCCTGAACGAGCGCCTTAATACGGTGAGTGAGCCTGCTGCATTCGTGGCATGGAAGGAAAAGCCAAACACCCTTCACGTTTTACAGTATACTTGTCTATTCTCCGCTCAACATCTGGTCGCATACTTTCGCACAATCAACTTCTCAGAGATGATGAAGCACTATGACCACACCATGCGCACTCAACAGATGCAAGCATCACTCAAGATGTTTCTTCGAGAACCTTATTGGTGGGTCATTAAGAGTCGCCTGAAAGTTACCCTTAGTGAATACCTCGTCTTGGATGTCAGTCGAGAAGATCCACTAAAAGACACGCTTGATCAATTGTGGGGCCAGGACAAAAGAATGCTTCTCAAGCCGCTCAAAGTAAAGATGGGCCACGGTGAAGGAGAGATTGGTGTCGATCATGGCGGAGTAACATATGAGTTCTTCCGCGTAATCCTGAGTGAGGCATTTAAGCCTCAGCATGGTAAGTAGCTGCGGGCCTTTGTGCATTGAGGCATAACCTAACTTTACAAGGCATGTTCACAATCGACCCGCAAACGAGAATGACCTGGTTTCAGCCCAAGAGTCTCGAACCGCTGTGGAAATTTGAGATGCTGGGTATCTTGTTTAGCCTTGCTGTATACAACGGCATTACGCTTCCAGTTACATTCCCGTTGGCCTTTTACGAATATCTCCAAACTAACGGCAGTCCACCTTATATCCATGCTGTCGAGCAAGACGCCTTGGAATACATCAGAGACGGCTGGCCAGGCTTAGCAGACAGCTTCGAAGAACTACTATCTTGGAGCGACGGCGATGTCGAAGACATCTTCACGCGCGAATACGTCTTCAGCTACGAAGTCTACGGCCAGCGCATCGACCACAACCTTCATCACCCATTCAACAACTCAAGTCCCACTGAAGCACCGGACATGGTAACCAATGAAAACCGCACCCAATACGTCTGCGACTATATCCGCGCCCTAACCCACGATTCAGTCGCCCCTCAACTTCATTCCTTCCTCAAAGGCTTCCTCTCCTGCATCAAACCCAAAAGCCTCCACCTCTTCACCCCCACGACCCTCCGCGCCCTCGTCGAAGGAACCCAGCACATCTCCATCGCCGATCTCAAAAGCTGCGCAAAATACGAAGAAGGATACAGCGCTACAAGCCCCACCATCCAAACTTTCTGGGACATTGTCGAGAAATACAGCCAAGAGGATTGTAGACACCTACTCGAGTTCGTCACTGCGTCGGACCGTGTGCCGGTCACTGGGTACGAGAGTATTACGTTCCATATTGCAAGGATAGGCGGGGCGCCGCATGCGCTGCCCAGTAGCTCGACGTGCTTTGGCAAGTTGTATTTGCCTGAGTATAGGGATAGGGGGGTTATGGAGGGGAAGATGTTGTTGGCTATTCGGAGTTCGAAGGGGTTTGGGCTTGTGTAAGGTGTGCATGGAAGTTTATGCGGTATTGGGTTTTGTTGTTTGGGGATTGGGGATAGAATGGATGGGGGTGGTATCGATATTTCATGCGTATGTATAGATTGTTTTGAAAATAAAAAGAGGGGGGTTAGGGCGGGTAGGGAGTTTCAATGGTATTATTTTTGTACATGCTGGTAGTTGGAATGGGTTTTGTAATGGAGAAGTTGGTGGTACTTGCGGCTTCTCGTTATAATCATGATGATGCATTGTGGTCTACATTTGTAGGCAGAGTCCGAAGTTCGATTATGTTACTGTCCACTTCTATAGTTGCATGTATACCCGCACTGCTGAGGTAGCATAGCGACATTGATCACGTCATGTGTCACGGGCGGCTCCGACGTGCATTTTATAGTGGGAAAGTTATATTTCAGCTATTAAACACGACCAGATCTAAAGGTTCCAGCAGAAACGTCTATGTGAAAGCCACGTAACATCACGTGTCATGTCGAAAGGGCCCACTGTGTGCATCTGGTTTTGACCAGTGCCATATCAAAGGATCTCCAGATTGTTCTCGATCATATAATACATATATTCTATACACAATCTAACTGTTGAATATTCTCACTTTGCTCTTGCAATCCGAACCCTTCGCGTCGATGGAATGACTCCTACCACAGATTTCACTAGAGAACGATCCCTGGACCGCCGCGCAGCTTGTGCAAGACGATATCGCGCTCAGCGCCTATAAATTGTGTTTATGGCCAGTCTCAATGCCACATCAATAATTGCCTTCACTTCTGTACCACTACTGACCGCTGATATGATAAATATCACATTATCATGTTCATTGAATAGCAGATGTTGGGCAGGGGCAGTGCTACGTCGGTGCCTAGACCACCCTTCAACCACCGAATTCAGCCTGCTCATAGAAACACCATCGCCCTTATACCAAAGTACATACACCCTAAAGCGTCTTTTATCGTTTATTGGTATTTTCTAGAAGGCCTCGCGCAGGGAAAGTTCGATGGCTCAAAATCAGTCCCAATCCGACCACCTTCTTGAAGAATCGGACAGGCATATGGATGAGATTGTTCGCACCGGACTCATAAAATACCAGGAAAGACTATCCAAAGGTATCTCTGGTTCTTCTAATATGAGATGTTTCTAATATCACCACCCGACAGATGTATTAGAGCAAACAGTCACTTGGTGTCGCCGTGCACTCATCCTCACTGATCCCCTTATCACCCGTCGGGATATAATCGCTACAAAAGTTCGACTATCGCCTAGCCCATTCGAATGGGTAATACAAGACGATCGCTACCGTAAATGGCTGGATAGTAGTAAGAAACGCGATAGGGACAGAGGCTCACAGCTGCTATGGATCTCAGGCACTCTGGGCACGGACACGACAATGCTATCTGTCTTTCTAACAGAGGAGCTAGAGAAACACACTGCGGTAGCAGAAAACGCAGAATTGGTATTCTTCTTCTACAACAGTGTTACAAGTAACAAGAAGGATTCTCTCCTTGACAAATGACGAGATGGCCGAGGGCCTAGGGACGTCCACGTCAAAAGGTAAAGGATCATTGCGGGGCTCGAAGTCACGTAATGTGCCATCTCGCCAAGGCTAGCCATCTAAGATGGCAGTGCATGAAGAGATGGCAGGACTGGAAGCAATAAGGATATAAGGATAGATAGATTTCATTATTACTCTCGTTGTGGTTAACTTAAATTATACTTTCTTACTAGTTACTTTACTTAACAAGATTATTACCTATTAGTCTATAGCAATATAGATTAGGTTTGTCAACCTATTATTGTCTATCTTATAAGCACGCCCACTCCACTATCTCGCCAGACGATTACCTCACGGAACACTAGCGTAAAGCTCACCGGCCTTAGTGTGGGACCCGGTAAGAGAAATATAGATCCGAACCCCGTGTAACAAACAGAAGCAACACATCTACGCTTATGCTCTACGGACTTATAGGCCAAATTGTCACTAAACGCCCAGAGCTAAGTCAGCACCTATATGGCAACTTGGAACGATTGAATAAAATGCAGGAAAACCTCGAAGCAGCCCAAAGATCTGAAGGAATTTTCGAAGAAACCCCGGAAATGTCTGCATTTATGTTGGACATATTTTGTACGCTTATCAGAGCACCAGGACTAGGTACAATGTTCTGCGTGATTGAAGGATTTGGCGATTGTGATAGGTCTGGCAGCGTGTACAGTCCGCTGTCAGGGGCGATTATGGACTATTTCAACGACAGATATCTTCCGCGGCGGCTTGCGGGTAATTTCATGCTGCTAATTGTCAGCCGCACTCTTTCCCGTCAGCCGCACCGCTGTACAGAAATACGATTATACTCTAAGCAAGCAGTCGAGGACACCGAAACGCTGCTTCCAGAGCATGAGACAGAGTACACCAGCAGTTGTGATGGCAGCGACAAAGAAGTAAAACATCCTTACTCGCTATCTCAAAGGATAGATTCTCATCACAAAGAGCGCGGTGCCAGATTTTCTCCCAAAAGCTTTTTTCAGAGCCATATGCGGAGTCGCCATGCAGAGAGTAGGAGCAGGCTAGCACCCTATATTTGTTCAATTTGCAGCAAAATCTTTGCGAGGAGAACAGATCATCTTACACACATGCTATATGCACACAACCACACAAAGTCGATTACATATGGAGCCAAGCGGCAGGAGCTATCTTCCCAACCCCGAGATGATACGAACAACAATCTGAAGGTGTCAGACGATAATTTCGATCAAGCATCTCCTACATCTCGAGTAGAATCGATTTTGTCATTAGCGTCCATGAGCTCCACAGCGACCGGCAAGCAACAAGAGGACGAGGGCAGGGACGAGGAAGAGAACGAAGTGGAGGAGAGCAAGGATGATGACAGGGAAAAGGTACACTCATTGAATCGAATGCCTGATCTTGTGCCTGAAGTGTATTTACCCATGGAATCCGGAGAAGCATTCATCAAGAAGCGATATCATCGGACGCTTTTTAGTCAAATTCAAGTGGCACTCGACAACTTGTTCATTGCAGCAGGTTTTTTGGAGCCGCCTCTAGAGCCTGGGATGGTTCGTGTGAGATGGATATGCGTAGGTTCATACCGCAGGTGGGTGCAGATTTACAAGCGATTACTGATCAAATATCAGAGATGCGGAGAAAGCTTCTTCGGTGATGTAATGGAGTACCGTCACAATGGTATACATGAACTCACAGACAGGATGAACCGTTCCACCGGTGCTAGTATCACTGTAGCTTCGTACAGCAAGACATCTAAAAACCAAAATTGGAACTTCAAATTCCCTGCTTGGGCAAGGCGGGGTACTGGTACTTCTTCGGTTAAAGCAACGACCCCTAACTCTGGAGGGGGCTTACCGCAGTACAACGCTCCCGATCGTTCTGCTCCTTTAACCTCCTCAGCGCCGGCTACAAATACACCAACAAATTCAACCCCTAGGCTACATCTTCTAGCCTGCGCGCACCGGACTGAACGGAGAAAGTGCCTTTTACAAGATCCCATCGATTCTGTATCCACAGATCGAGCACTGTTCTGCTTCATGAAGCAGCAAATGCGGTGCAATAATAGTCGTTTCCGAAGTATCCTAGCAATGAGAAGTATACAAGGAATGTTTTTTGTCAAGGTAAGTCTTGAATGAGCAGCTTGACGAGAAAGACAAATTTTGAGAAATACAAGTTTCGCCTTCGTATGGGCAACAACGTCGAGGTACGAGACCATAATCCTTGCTGCACCTCAATGAATCCAGCCATTTGTGAGTGCATACCTCCAGCACCAAAGGTCGAACCATCTCAGGACGCTGAATATCGCTGTTCACGACCGGGACCTCTCGCAATATGGCCCCCAGTTTTGTCACAAGACTTAATGCATATGCTTTCCTCGCCACAATGCATCCATGAAGACGAAACATGGGTTCTTGACCAGCTACCGAAAAGAACGGCTGGGAAACTCCAAGTATGCGTAGGAAAACCCGCAGAAGGCTGGGGCATATACTATAAAGAAGGGATTGACTTCGACATGATCGTTGGCGTAGTGTTCGCTGTTTTTCTCTTGGGCAGCCTTCTTTTCGGTATTCTATGGAGTGTGCTAGAGAGGGATATTCAGGGTGCCTTTGATGTTAGCGCCTATGTGGTAACTGCGATCAGCGTCTTTGTAACATGGGTTGCGACTCGTGCGAAGAATCTTGGATAGCTTTTATGCGCAGCGTTGCATCTTTTTAAGTGTGAAAATTGATGATGTATCGGGCAAGCATAGGGAACAGGTATTGAAAGATTATGCAACTTCGCTTTTTCCAAACGTAGAGAATCAATCCTTGGGCTCTGTTATATCCAATCATATTTGATACGCATTCTGAACTTCAACCCCCTAGCCAGCCCTTCACTATATTTGATGATACATGCTCAAATTTTATTGAGAAATGTGACTATGCTACAAATCTATGATCTTTGGTATTACAATACACGGGATCCACCGCTTGCTATTATGCCTAGTTTCTTTTTCTTTTTTCTTTTTAATTCTTAGATTATCTTCGTATAGATAGCTCTAATAGATTGGAATTAATTTAAAATGAGTAGATTTGATTTTTTGACTGGTCTTCGAGCTCGTTCTTCGGTTAGTTTTCGGCTGGTTTTCAGCTGGTTTTAGACCTCGTTTTTCGGCTGGTTAGGCTGGCGGAGATCTTGGTATTTATCACCTAATCAAATGCTTTCTAAAAAAAATAGAGATCCTTAAATGCTTTGTACAATGCATTTTGCATTGGTTATGCCGCATTGTTGCTAGTACAAAACACAAAACTGGAACTCTACCGAGCCATCACCAGAAATCTAATTTCACTCACTCAGTATCATAGCCAGTCTTAATTATACCGAAAATGTCACCCTCTCGGCCTCTCAAGCCGACTGCGATCGTCGGAATGGGTACGTCCTCGTAACGACATTTTTTTTATCAGTGACTAATATTCTACGTAGCATGCAGGTTACCGGGAGATGTTAACAGCCCCGAAGATTTCTGGGATCTCTTGATTGACGGTCGAGATGGCTATTCTGACTTTCCTTACACGAGACTAAACATTGATGCATGGTTTGGTCAAAACGCCACCCGTCCAGGATTTTCCCTAAAGGATGATCTCGACAGCTTCGACAATGATTTCTTCAACATCTCAGCTGTTGAGGCTTCTACCATGGATCCTGCTCAAAAGAAAATGCTCGAGGTCACCTATGAAGCTTGTGAAAGAGCTGGAGTGTCATTGGCCCAGCTATCCGGAACATGTACTGGTGTATACGCAGGCAACTTCTGTCCTGAGCAATGTCTAACAGGCCTTAAAGACTCCGAGTTCATGACAGCTTATACAGCAACTGGCGCTTCAACAGCCATGCTCAGCAATCGCATAAGTTATGCGTTTGACTTGAAGGGGCCCAGCCTTACTGTTGGTACGGCTTGTGCGTCGTCAGGCTGCGCTCTCCATATGGCCTGTTCTGGTCTCCGAAATAACGATTGCGATGCTGCATCAGTATGCGCCGCAAATACCATCAGAAGTGTGGAAGCGCAAATGTTCGTGTCGAAACTGGGCGTATTGTCCCCTACATCAAGATGCCATACGTTCGATTCAAGGGCAGATGGATATACTCGAGCAGATGGAGCTGTAGCTTTCTTTGTCAAGCAACTCTCTCACGCAATCAGAGCTGGTAATCCTATTCATGCAGTTATTCGCGGCACAGAAGTTGGGGCGAATGGATCTGGCGGGAGTATAACAAGTCCTAGTGAAGATGCTCAAATTGTTGTCATACGAAAAGCATACGAAAATGCGGGGATAACCGACATACAAAGTACTAGCTATTTTGAATGCCATGGCACTGGAACTCCATATGGAGACGTAGTAGAGACGCATGCAGTTGGGAAAATCTTTGCGCCCTACAAAACTCCTGGAGAGCCTCTTCATATTGGATCAGTCAAGCCTAATTTAGGGCATTCCGAAAGCGCTTCCGCCCTGACAACATTAATGAGGGTCCTACTGGCCATTGAGGCTAACATTATACCACCCACTATTGTATTCGGAGTCTCAATGAAAAGATAAAGTTTGACGCTCTTCGGCTGAATGTCGTTCAAATTCCCACGAATTGGCCCAAATCATTGCCCAAAAGAGCGAGTATCAATACATTTGGTATAGGCGGTGCTAACGCCCATATCATTGTCGAAGGATTTGAGTCTGCCATGTACAATATTGACGGGTTTCCCGATACTCAAGAAAGCTATGATTGGAGTCAATTCCAGAAGGGAATCGATGTCAGCAGTGCATCTGGGAGCAGCAGCGGATCTCTAACCAACAGTAGTCAATTGACTTTAGATGCTAGTCCAAGCATGTCATAAAACGAGGAACTTGTTCAGGAAAAGGTTATGCCTCTTGAGAGGCCGGTACTCATATTGTGCTCAGCGAAGAGTGCCAATTCACTAAGTCGAACACTGGATGTTGTATCCAACGGCCTCCGATTGGAAAAGCCCCTAGACATCGCTAAAACTCTTGCAAGCCGTTCTCGGTTGGAGCATCGTGCGTATGCCGTTTATGACGGCTTTCAAGAGGCGACATTCCAAAAGGACACAATTTGTGAAGAAATGAAGCTGGGCTTTATCTTCACGGGAGGAGGCGCACAATGGCCAAGAATGGGCGAACAGCTGTTGCAATTTCCAGCCTGCCATCGATCTGTCTAAAGAATTGACAAAGTTATCTCATCTTTACCCGATACTCCTAGCTGGACAGTTGAGGAGATCATGCGTACAGAGCTACCTGTGGAAACGATGAATGAGCCTAGCTTTGCACAGTACATGACCTCTGCGTTGGAGATTGCGTTGGTCGATCTTTTCAACCTTACGCTCGCCAGTGCTTGATATAATCAAAAGCGTTCCTATAGAACTCCCATTCCGGTACGCGGCAGCTGTCAAGCGTAAAGAGGATTCAGCCCTAACATTGCTGAAAACATGTGGGAAGTTGGCTAATGCGGACGTTGATGTTGATACTATCAAAATCAATGGCCCAGGCGGAAAGTTTCTTCCTTCCTTTCCAACGTATCTATGGGATCACCAGATTATTTCACGAGAATGTCGATCACAGCGCAAATGGAGATTGAGGAGGTTTCCTCGGCATGACATGCTGGGCTCCCTTGTACCGGCTCTCTCGCAGGATATACACGTGTGGCGAAACATAATTTCTTCGAGTCAAATACCATGATTAGATGGGTATCGCTTTGGGCAAGATCCTATCTTTCCCACATCTGGTTTTGTCTCCATGATCCTGGAAGCTCTCCGTCAGGTGGATGAAACAGATGAAAAGCAATTCATCATAGAGGACATGGTAATCTCATCTGTGTTGCTTCTAAAAGAGGAGGTAGAGATATTTCTTGTTCTACGCAGATCCGAACTTGGCAACGAGAGGAATGGTAATCGGGTATGGGAGTTCAGCATTTCCACAGCACAAAATGGCCTTTCTACTCAATACGTTAAAGGACGTGCGTACACATCGCTTGCGACGATGGAACTCCCGTGGAAAGAATCATGCGAGAGAAAAAGTTGGGAGTACCAGTCATTGACGCCCACAAACTGGTATGACGAGCTTGTAGCCAAAAGAAGTATCAGAATTGGGGGTTGTTTCCGTAAGATCATCAGTCTAAACTCGGTTCCGCGACACAACGAAGCGTTTGCAAGTTCAAAGCTGAGGCTTCGATCTTGCATCCCACACAATTGGAAAGCTACTTCTTGCTTCCATTAGTCTCTGCAAGGGATTTGCACCAAAACGAGTCATTTCTGCCAGTCTCGGTAGACAGAATTGTAATAGCAAACTCACAAGAGCAAGACTGTATGATCGAACTTAGATCTAAGTCCGATTTTCTGGGCTCTAATCAATTTCACGCATCGACTTTTATGAGCGACTCTGACCACAACATTGCTTTTATCGACGGAATTTGCTACAAGCGACTTCCAAAACCTGATGATTTGGGACGGAGCAAGGACAGCACGAGCTTCTGGCGACTTGCATGGGTAGATGATTACGACGGGTTGACCAAAACCAATGAGAGTGTGTACCTCCCGCCCGAGGACTACAGACCCAAGATTTACGACTACTCTCGCCATCGTCTTTCTCAGCTCGCACAAATGTGGGTGGTTCAGTTTGCCGTTAAGCACCCGGACCTGTTGAAGAAAAGTCCGGCTAGCAAACAACATGAACGATATGTTGAATGGATGAACTGGCTTCTGGAGACTGTCAAGATCAAAAATCCCTCAATATACAGAATGTCTCAAGAAGATCGGGCCATCGCTATAGAAACTGAGAGAGCTGTGAGCGACTCTGGCATTAAACTATCTTGGGAAATATACGGTCATCTACCTAAGCTTATGAATGATACGCGCTCAGCCATCGAGATCATCATAGAAAGTGGCCTCCTGAGTCATCACTATGAGACTCAACTGGTTTACGAAAAGTTCGAGCGATTAGTGGATCTGTTGGGACTTCGTGATCCGTCAATGGAAATCCTTGAAATCGGCGCTGGGACTGGATCCGCAACACAGCATGTACTGAAGTCATTGTCAAGCGATGGCATCCAAAAGTATCGCAGCTATACCTTCACAGACATCTCGCCTTCGTTCTTCGAAGCAGCAGCAGCCAAGTTCTCTCAATATCCCGACATGGGGTACAAGGTATACAACATGGAAAGATCACCGGAAGAACAAGAACTTAAACCAAGCTCCTTCGACCTTGTCATAGCTTCCTGTGTAGTACATGTGACGAATATCGTCAATGTTCTGAAGAGCATTCGTCGACTTCTGAAACCTGAAGGACGTCTGCTCCTTTTAGAGCTCACTGCCGAGCATCACGACATCAACTTTACATTGGTAAGCACTTCTTCCACCAGTGATCTTAAGATTCTTTTAGCTAACAATAGAAAACTAAAGGGTCTATTTCCAGGGGTTTTTGATGGATATGAAGAAGGAAGGAAGCGACATCCCTTCTTGACTCCGGAACAATGGCACCAAGTCCTTCCTCAAGCTGTATTCACCGTCCCTGAAGTCTGCGTAAACGATGTTCCAGAAGAATGGTTCGCCTTTTCGGTACTTACAGCACGAGCGATTGAGTCCGCCAACATCACGCCCCTGGAGGCTACCCATCCACTCCTCATGGTCAGTTTAGATGATCATTCAACTTCCTTGTCCAGAAGAGTCCACTTCCACGCTCAACAACGCGGTTCAATTGCAAACTACACATCTCTCGAGTCCTTCAGTGATGCGGATCTCATGACCTGTACCAGGGAGACCACATTGATCGTCTTAGGCGAGCTGAAACCAGGGCTAGGGAACGATTCATACGATCCTATGCTGTCTAAATTAGAAGAGGCGGTGTTCGAGTGCAACAGTGTTTTGAGGGTGACAAGACGAGGTAGGAAAGGGCGCTGGCAGGTGCCACACAATGTTGTTGACGAAAGCATCGTTTTCCGAGCTGACCGCCCCGAATGCCATATGGTTTCAATTGATTTTGATCCACTCGACGCAAAAGACAATGACATTATCGCACAAGAAGTTCTCTGACGGTATATGATTTTCCCGCATCTTCGGGATGATGAATACATCCAAGAAAACGGCCGATGGCTGATTCCTCGCCTTCTACCTGATCCCCGTTCAGGGGCAAGTTGGGATGTTATTCAAGGGAACTCGGTTTCAACGTCTCCCCTCAAATTGGAAGAGGCTGGCTCATTACAACTCAGCTCTAGGAGTCACGGAAATTCGGCTGAGCTTGGATTTGAGATGTGCTCAGATGACACGCATGAGCTAACCAACGGACTACTTGAGATTGATGTCAAAGCTTTTGGTTTAAATATGGATGTAAGAGATCACTATTGCATGACCGGATGTCGTCAGGGACGTTACTTTGCTGACTCACAGTAGACTTATCAAGGATTATCCGGCTCCCAAGCAACTAATATGCCAAGCTCAGAGATTACTGGTGTCGTTACAGCTGTCGCAGACGACGTTACTAGCTTCGCTGTTGGAGATCGGATATTCGGACTATGGCCGGGGCGGTTCGAGAACAAAGTTCGAGTTCCTGCCATTTTTTGCCAAAAAGCGAGACATGATGACTCCTTTGAGATGGCTGCCACAATGTCACTGGCTTACTGTACTGCATGGCATGCTATCGTGGAAACCGCTCAAACACAGCCAGGGGAGATTATTCTCATTCAGAGTGCTACTGGTGCTGTCGGATTGGCTGCTATCAATATCGCACGCAGTATCGGAGCGAAGGTGTATGCTACAGTTGGTACTGAGGCGAAACGCGATATGTTGATTGACTCAGGAGTCCCTGCTCGAAACATGTTCTCATCGAGAGACATATCCGCCGCAAAAGAGATGGAAGATGCGACGGCTGGATATGGGTTTGACGTTATCCTCAACGTTTCCTCGGGGGTCTACCTGCAAAATGTTTCATGGCCATTGGTTGCTTCTTTCGGCCGCTTTGTAGAACTGCGGCAATCCAAGAACGCACTTATACAAGGTGGCGCCCCTGCGATGAAGAAGTTATCTGAAGACGCTACTTTCATTCAGATTGACATCATAGGCCTGTGCCGTAAGAAACCACAAGTCATCACCCGCATCATGACTGCCATCGGGACAAGGTATCGCGATGGTATTTTCGCCAGTTTGCCTCATACAACACTACCTATCTCACTAATCAAGGAAGCTCTTTCTGATTTTGCTAGATTTGAGCATATCGGAAAGCTGGTTCTACGCTACTCGGGTACCGATGTTGTCCCGGTATTTCCCAGTCTGAAGTTCACTGAGTTCCGCGAAGATGGGAGCTATCTTGTCATCGGCCCATTGACGACAATTGCTATTGAATTCATTCACTGCATGATCCGGAAAGGAGTACGCCGGCTGGTATTTCTAGGATCCAGGCGGTCATTGGGCACTGACAATGTGTTCATTGATGGCCTTACGGCTGCGGGCATTTCTGTAACTTGCGTTCATGGATCTGCAGCAAACATCAATGACGTTCGTCACGCCATGTCTTCTCGTATTTTTAGAATTATCGAGCTCACTGGGCTTCACGGTCCAGAGGGTCCTGACGAGAAAACAGCCTACAGCGAGGATGATAGAGAAGTGACAGAAAAGGCCAATGCTCTGGCTAATCTCCATTCTGTCAGTCTAGAGAAAGGCTACGAGCTCGATTTCTTTTCCATTCTAACTTCAACGCTACCAACCTCGCAAACCATGGATACGTCTTTCGGCCTTGCTGCAAATAGGTTCTATTGATCGAGGATCGACCAAGGCATGCCCTGCACACATATTCACATTGGCACCCCATTTACTGCGGAACAAACGCTCGAACTTCTTTGTGCCGCATTCTCAATCCCATCGCCACCAGGCAAACATTCCCAGGGGCCAATCTATATTCTGTCAGAGGGAGATGAGTCACAACCGAGTGAAGAAAGTTCATGCTATGGCTTAGGAGATCCTTGTCAGTACGTCTTCCTCAACCATCACAAAGCCACAAAGCGAAGGTTAGCCTCGGCAAAAGAGAACCAGACAACCGTATGTTCCCGGGTAGATGGCCAAGACGTCGAAGAAATTGTTGCTGTGCGGTTAAGCAAGTTGTTGTGGATTCCCTTGGAGAAAGTACGAAAGGAAGTGAGCCTAAGCTCCATGGGAATCGACAGCATGATAGCAAGCGAGTTCCGCTTGTGGCTACAACAGGCTCTTAACATCTCAGTCAGTATGCTGGAGCTGTTGTCCCAACAAAAGACAATTCAAAAGCTGGTAACCCAAGGAAACCCTTTAGGAATGGAGAGGGCGAGATTGTCGACTACATGCTAGACATTAGCTGGCGAAAATTTTCGCTGCGGCTTTCGACTCTTGAAGATGTTGTTAATTATTTGTTGGCTGCTGGTAGCCACGAACCTTTTAGTCAGGACTGAACCGACTATTTAGAAAAAAAGATTTCAATCCCTGTGTTACACCAAGCCTTCTTCGAAGTTCCTCAGTTAGTGCGAGGCTGCTTCCGCCTCGTACACGATGCCAAAGCCAACGATGGTATTTCAGATGACAATATCTTCAGATTTGACGGGAATGGCGCTATGATGGGTATCCATACCTCATCAGTAGCAGTCATAGCTTCTGGTTGCCAATCAAAGCTAAAATTCGGGCAGCAGGGCAGCCTGGACTGGGCAACCAGCATAGCTTGTGTCAGCGCAGTTGCCTAGACCCTCTTGTCCTTTATGATCTTTAGCGACAAGAACAACCTCGTTGCCTGGTATAAAGAAGGCAGCGCTCCTCTGGATCATTGTTATTGAAGTCTCTGAGAATAGCTGGACAACAAATAAGCTTAACCCAAAAGTGGCTAGGGCGCTTTAACAATCATACAAAAGAGTGTAATGTTAGAGTCCATCGTTTGCTTATTCTTAATGGTCATGAGAGCTACAATTCACTTGAATTCCAGTCATACTGCAAGGAGTTAAATACTATCGTTCCTTGCAAGCCTTTACCATTCTTCTATCTAAAAATGTCTAAAGCTCCATGTAAGCGTAGTTTACCGCTCGCCACTGACTGTCTTAATTTTCTTTTCTCTTTTTTTCATAATTTCTTAATTATTTCCGTAAAGAAGACTCCACAATATGGAGATAGAGTAAAGTTGAGCGGATCTCACTCCTTCCCAACCTATGCATCCAAAATCCAGATCCCACAAATCCCCAACCACCCGTGGCAATTTACCAATCGCTATTGTCTCGCCATGATCAGATCCGATGTACCCCAAGCGTACTATCATCCCCACATCTTGTTAGTAACCAGAATTAACCAGCAGTCTCCATATGTGATCAAGATCCTGCAGATTCTCAGCCCAAAAAACCAAACTCATTAGTCAAATCACAACGCCTTCAAGTCAAACACTTGCCTCTCTCTATTCCCCACCTCCTCAAACCGTCGGACAAGGCACCTCAATAAAATCCCACACAATCCCTTCGGAATTCCAATCCCTAATCTTAACCCTCTGCCTCACCACACCCCCCGTCTCCTGCGAACAAACTCCCATCGGCAAAAGCTTGTTCTCGACAAGCACCAACAACACATAGCCGCCCTCGGGCCGCTTCCTCACACATATATACTCCCAGTCATTGTGCTTGTCGACAGCGCACCGGATCCAGCCGCGACTATCATACCCCATGTACCGCGCGGAAACCGGGTCGCGGAAGCCCAGCCATCCCCTTCTTTCGACGCAGCGCCAGCGGAAGGTGCCGAAGCCGCCGGGTTTGTCGAGGATGATTTCGCCGTCGAGGAAGGTGATTACTTGGCCTGTGTCGTGGGAGCGGATGATGAATGTGCGGCCGGGCCAGGGGATTGAGGATTGGAAACTTTCCCATTTTTGCTGATCCTTGGAGGTGGTGGGGTTTGAGTTTGTTGTTGGAGGGGTGCAGATGGGGGATGTTGTGCAGATGGTGGGGGAGGTGCAAACTGTTGATGTTTCCGAGTCGACGTTGTCGAAGATGATAGGGTAGGCTTGGGCCATTTTGTAGTCTACTACGTACTATCCGGTGGTTCTGGGTTGATGTTGTGTTGACTTGATGAAAGGACTGTGGTACTACTGGTAACTTTTCACGCGCAAAGGTTTACCTTTTCGCGTGCGTAGTCACACGACAGCGTGGGAAGTTACTGCTTTTGTTGAATCTGTTTATCTGAACATGCGACACGCATTTATTGGCTATTGCAAGAAGAACGATCAAAGTGTTCGTCCTAAGCGCCAAGCCTACCCATGTTAACGTGGCGCACCCACATTGGTTCGTAGGCTGCAGACTACCGTCCACGTTGTGTTTGTGGCGAAGAAAAGAGGGGCCTCTAGCAGAAACGAATTCAAAGGTGGAATGATGAGAACTCCTCAAGTGGTTAATCCTGGGGTCATAAGCTGAAGGGATACCCTATCAGAAGCGCGAAATCGGGTTCGGTTTCCAAAGGGCGGGACCACTACTGTACGGGGACGCACATCAAGTACACGTACAGCTCTCATTAGTGTCATTACTTTCTATTTTAGGATTCAAAAGGCTTCCTCGCATTCAAAGACAGCGCCTTACATTTGCTCATAAACCATCGTACATAACTAACTCTAAATACTCGAAACAACAGCGACTATCCGGAACACACAATCATTCAATTGCCCTTGCCTTCATCGTACAAATTTCGCATTACAAACAACCAAATTAAACATGTCTTGAACTCAGATTACTACACTCACGTCCCCCCAATCTCTGGATCCGGTGTCAACCACGCACGTTCGATATTAACCCTATACGTTGGATGTCTCCGTGCTGCCGTCGGCCCCTTTGTCCTCTTAAACCCGCTATTCCTAAGACTCTGCCGTCTCTGATACCTAGCCATAACAGGTCCTTGTCGCAAGTCTCGCGGCAAAAAATTAGGATTGATTCGGACGCCCGAGCAAGCCATGCAATATGTAATATACTCCTGTACACTTGGTCGTTTTGGTTTATTACCGCAAGGGCACATGCGGCCAATACCTTGAGCCCGACGTTTGAGGATGGTAGCAGCGGAGACGCGCGTGGAACGTCCGATGTCCTGGTTAACATAAAGCCGGGTTCCTTTTATGACGGGCTGGGTGCAGCTGTGGAGGACGTCTTCGGTCATCTGGAAGGGTCTGAAACAAAATTCAAAGAAGAGCACGTCGCGACAGGCATGGCAACAGTCGTTTGCAGGAGTATCAACTGTCCATATTTCGCACATGCAAAGGTTTTGAAGGCCATTTGGTAAAGGCCATTGTCGTATAAACGGACTCGACTGGGCATTCGTGGGGCCTGCTGTTCCTTGACGTAACCAGTATAATTCTACTTCGTCATAGATGCAACTGCGACAAAGCTGGCTACGGATGCCGCTTGCAAGATTAACATTGGAATAACTATTGATGAGTGCACGCTTGTCTGGAAACAAAGGATGCCCTTCATGCTGTCGGCAATTACCGCAAGTCCGAGTTCGATCTTCACCGGCGTGAACACCATCATTGACGTAAGAATTTGGTGTTGGTATATTCACGGCCGCTAATCCCGGGCAGACTTGCTGAGTATCGGCATCGCACTGAACAAGTCCTTCTGGAGCGGGATCTCCAAGACAATGTAAGAAATCAGAGCAATGCCAATCGTCCGTGTCACCAGGTACAATATCCTGTTGCACAGCTCCAGGCGGCGTAGAGCTAGGCTCCTGGGATGTTGTTGTACCTACACTCGATGTCTCCTCAATAATAGTTGGCAATGGCGAGTTGTTCATTTTGGGGTTAGTGATTGGATATTCCTTTGGGGTTCAGCTTGAAAATCACTATATTCTAAATGGAGATGCTTTCTGTGTTCAGCATGCGTAATATATATTGAGAAGTGATAAAAGGTAATTTAAATTCAGAGAAAGATGTCCCTTTGTGAAAGAGCTGTCAAAGGGATTTCTGACAATGCCTTTGTGCAGGATGGATGGCAGCACTAATCGAGGTTCTAATGATCGAGTAACAAACACGGATTTATCGAGGAAGCTGGAACAAAGACTCCTCCGTACAATGACAGGCCTATATTTATCTCTTACAGTGAATCTAGCATCAGCACCGGACTAAACGTTCATTCATCAACAACTTCTACTATGTCGCCGAATTCTTCAAGAAGCCATGGCTCTAGATCTTTGAAAGCGTCGGGAACTATCTTCTCCTCTGGTGAGACTGGGCAGGCAGTCTCGTCAACAGCTTTTTCCAAGTGCTCCGGGAGTTCTTTGGTAGTTGATGATTGCTGGTATTTCTTCAACTGTGCAAGGGTAAGGCCACTCTTTCCGGGGGCTTGCTTGCCGGTCTTGTTATCGTCGATAAAGTTCACCGCCGCATCTGGAAATGTGCGTTTGATTCTCGTAGTACTTATGAGTCTGTCGGGGTGAGAGCCTTGTCTCTCCGCTGGCGACTCATAGGATTGATAGTGGCCTTCAGTATAAGCAGTCCTTGGCAAAACATTGTTTGTGAATCCCTCGGCGTCTGCAATTTTATCGCCTTTCAAATGCCGCGCCTCTTCCGAGCTTTCTTTGTTTGCGCAGTGGAGAAAACCCTTCACACCTTTCATTGAATCAAAATCGCCTTCATTGTTGCCTTGCAGGCTATGCGAGTCAGCTAGGCCAACCAGTACGTCTCCGAGTAGTGAGTCATCATCATAGAACATTTCCGACTCTGGAGAGATACCTAAGGCAATCGCCTCGCAATCTACAAGATCATGGTACTCTGTTTGATTATTGCAGTCGGATAGCACACTGGGTTGTTGTGGAGGATCAAGAAAATCAAGAGCATCGTCAAACTGGATGTTGCCGTAGTCGCTTGAATCAAGGAGTGGTTCTGTGACTAAAGGTTCCGAGGAGGAGACTCTGCCTGCATCACCCTGGTGATAGCAGTGCCTTGGCTTCATATGCGAAATCGATTGAGTTGCAGAAGATAGATTGCTACCCTTCGTACTCTTCTGAATCTCGCTTTGTGCCCCCAGGTCATCTAGAGCTCGGTCTACTTTGTTCCTCTTTTCTTGCTGAGTAAGATCCAACTCTTCAATTTGGATCGAAGCTTTTCTTTTAAGTGCTGCAAGCTGGAGCATAGTTTGAATTGTTTTGACTTTTGGAGTCGGGAGTTTCTGTTGCGACTGCATTTGGGGCTCGCCTAGCTGAGAGAGCTTGGCCATAAGCTTCTTCTTTGGCGGCTTGTCCATTCCGTTTTTACAACACAAGTGCTTGCACGCTTCGCGGTCTTTGCAGGGGTGGTTACAAGCCCATCTACCATTTGCAAGCTGCACTGGATCCTGAGCAGTGCCCTTAACGACAGCTTCGGGCAGCGCTTTAAGGCTTAGGATCTTTCCAACATCCTGTTTATTGCTCGAACTAGCGTTGGAGTGGTTGCGCTCAACTTTCTCTGCGAGCGGATCGGGATATGCATCGATATTGTCGAATGTGAGGTCTCCACAAGCAGCTTGCACGAGTGTATCATCGTCGAGTCCGTCATCACCGAAATCATCACCGGTATTAGACGCTTTCCAACTTTCTTTCGCATTCTCCGTGCGTCGCTTTGACATATTGGACTGATTTGGGGCCGATGAATCTAAGCCAGAAGATTTCAAGATTGGATGCATGGATGAGGGTATCTGAGGTCTCAAAGTGACGCTGCGCATACTGCCAGCTTCAAAAGATCAGATAACAGCACTGTGGAAACGAACACGTACACACCTATACCATCACACATGACATGACAGTTGATGGATTGGTCGTAACTGGTTAAGAGGACTGGAATGGAAAGACTTTGGCCAGTACAAAGTTTAGAACCACTAGAACAGGGTAAGTATCATATAGGCTGAGCGGAGCCTCATACACACCTGATGCGGGCAAAGTGTATCTTGCGTCCATCTGATGCTTCCACCAAAAGGCAAACATAGATGAGCTTGTTGTTGAAGCGCAGTGGTGGGCGCTCATTCATGAAGCCAATGTCTGCCTTGATCTGCATTTTGACTCCTTCCAACGTTTTAACAATCTTTGCAACCGTTAGCAGGTCCATCAACAACTACAAAGACTTGTCTTACCGTGGAAGGCTGTTCTTGAAGCGAAACACGAAGCTTTGGAAAGCACTTGATCTTCTCAAGAATCTGCAGGCCATAAGGTGGGTTTCTTCCAACCACAGCTTCGATCCTATGTGGTTCGCAACCCTCGAGATCTTCTATGGATTTGATACCCGCATTGACAAGCTTTCTTACAGCAACCACGCCTAGAGTCTCAATCTGCTTCATTTGGAGCGGGCTGTCGTCCCAAGCCTTTGCGCCAAAACTTCGCTCGAGCATCAAAGCACTGTGAATACTAATAGCGTCGCCCAGCACAATTTGGCAGTCAATAATGCATCGAATGAGACTGCCTATGTTTCTGAACACCATCATCATTTCTGTTGCGTACTGTGATCTGTGTTTGGCCATGTCGCCGTCCCATGAGATATCAGCAGACCCCAGGACAGATTGGATGATAAGCGAAATCTTCTGCGCTGGGAGATCCAAATTCACGGGAATAGTCCAGCGGATTGATGGTGATTTGTTCAACATTTTGTAGAATGTCTTCTCGCCCTGGCGGAAACGTATGTTAGAGTATTCCTTAGCTTGTGCAATAGCCGAGAGCTGAGTTTCTGTTAGTTGGTCACATAAGACGGGTCAGGGCTATGAGTGACTCACAATCTCAGAGGGTGAGGACTTTGCCTCGAGTCCCATGAACAGCTTCATTGTCTCAAAATGAATGTAGTACCGTGACATAGCATGTCCAAACTCGGTGCATGTGAAACGCTCTTCGCTAGAGACTAGATTGCTCTGTTGCAGGAGGTTGACATCGCGAAAACAGATATCATCCACTTGCTCTTCAATACTCTGCCCGGTTCTGGACCCCTCAAGTTTGTAATACGCGGGGTTCTGCTGGAGTCGAACAAAGAGAAAGGTACCTTTGAGCCATCTTCTTGCCGAGGGCAAATCATAAATT